CAAATCATCAAACACAAGTGTTGGCGAGGGTGTGGAGAAAAGGGGACTCTAGTACACTGCTGGTGGGAATGCAGGCTGATGTAGACACAGTGGAAAACACTATGGTGTTACCTCAAAAAGTTAAAAATTGAACTGCCATTTGACCCAGTGACCCACTTCTAGGAATATACCCTAAGAAAACTGAAACACCAATCAGAAAGAATATATGTACCCCTATGTCCATAGCAGCACTATTTACAATAGCTAAGATCTGGAAACAGCTCAAGTGTCCATCAGTAGATGAGTAAATAAAAAAGCTGTGGCACATGTACACAATTGAATACTATGCAGCTGTAAGAAAGAAAGATCTCTTATCCTTTGAGATGGCATGGAAGGACCTGGAGAGTATTATGCTAAGCAAAACAAGCCAAGCAGAGAAAGACAAATATCACATGATCTCACTTATTTGTGGAATACAATGAACTAAACAAACTGATGAACAAAACTGACCCAGAGACATAGAAGTGGGGTACAGACTGACAAGCCTCAGAATGGGGGGCTGGGGTGAGAGATAAACCACAGAACTTATATGCATGTATGCATGAACAATGAACATAGACAACAAAGCTGGGGACGGGGTGGGAGGGATGGGGAGGAGGGTGTCAGTGGGGGGAAAAGGAGAAACATCTGTAACAAAAACAAACTAATAAAAAATAAAAAAGTAAAATAAATAAAATAAAATTTATCTAAAATCTTAAAAAAAAAACAAACTTTAAATATATTTTGGGAAGAAAGAATTTCGAGAGTAAGTCTCCGTTCCCTGGAAAAGCAGTTCTCTTGGTCACCTTATAACCTGTGCTGGGTCAATGAAATGTCCTTGTCTTGCTTCGAGGGTGTTGCATATTAATTTTCAACTTTCAGAGAGGCAGGGTAGCTTGTCACAGTGTTTCTTAACCTAAAAGTGGTGACTGTTAGTAAGTAAATTTTCCGGGTTGTGAGCAGCATTATTTATAAACTGAAATAGGGTAGATCAGAGTTTATTGCAGGCATTAAGAGTTAGTATGGTTTGCCCAGCCAGTGTGGCTCAGTGGTTGAGCATCGACCCATGCACCAAGAGGTTGCCAGTTTGATTCCCATTCAGGGCACATACCTGGGCAGACTCGATCCCCAGCAGGGGGCAGGCAAGAGGCAGCCAATCAATGTTGTTTCTCTCTCATCGATGTTCCTATCTCTCTCCCCCTTCCTTTCTCTCTCTCTCAGTCAAAAAAATATTTAAAATCTTTATAAAAAGAGTGAGTATATTTTGAGAGATTTTATTTTTAGCTATATCAAGTAAATACGTGGATGCTGGGTGGTGATTTCTTCCCCAGGGTCACTTTTGAACTTCTAAAGCTACGCTTGTAGTGGCTTAAACGAGACTGGTTGGAATGGGCGGTCTTCCTCGAGGGAACCCGGACCACAGGCCAAGATTTCACTTCTGTTCCTCAATATTCTCATCTCTGAAATGGCGAGAGGACCAGGACCTCCCTCATCCCATAGCTGTGAGAATTAAGGGAGTTAAGACATCTAATGTGCAAGGCGGTGCCTGGCACGTGGTAGCCCCCCAGAAGTCTTAGCTGCGGTTACTACATGGTCATTTCCCTCCCATCTCCTTTTCACCCGGAGGGGGACTTGGGAAGTCCGCTGTGTTGAATGCAGTGACTTCTTTGCACCGCAGATGAACTACATGCTCACATCTCTCGGCAAGCCTTCCAGGATCATGACCTCTATTCTATGCCATTGTTTTACCCAAATATAGGGGCTGCACGCAAAGGTGTTCGTCAGTCCCTGATACCTGCAGGCTTCTCAGCTGCCCCGCGATCTTCCCCTGGCCTGGGATGGCAAAGTCTGGGCGTGGGCGGCTGCTGGGCTTACCACCTCTTGTTTATCACTTGGGGAAGGAACATCGCAGTGTCCCCACACTTGGCTGGACTTGGTGCTTGCGCAATCCTCAGAACATATGAAAACTATTTCAATTGACAGCAAGTATTTCCTCACTGGCTCACGTTCAGCAGTAACCACTTTGTCCACATCAGGGTGACTGCGCCTGCTGTGGCCACTGTCCCAGAACTGGCCCTTGGTTGACTGCATATGTGGATTTCGGAGCGGAACCCCAAAAGTTGTCTGGCCCCATGTGCCTCCTGCTTTCCCCTCGTGACAATATTTCCTCTTTCACTTTTCATGCACCTCTAACCACACCCTCTAGTCTGGTCTTATCATGTCTTTCCTTTTTAGGATTAAAATCATGTGTCAGGTTTATTTATCTGTTCTATAAAATTGTTTTTCTTAGGCTGTCTTTACAGTTGTAGTTCGTAGTCACATGAAGGACTGTTGCTTTGTCTTCTTTCTTCCCTTATTGTTTCCCACTGCTGCTCAGCTCAGGAGAAATGCTCGACAGCTGTGTTTGGTTCCACTCTGGGCAGAGGGCACGGTTCTCCCTCCAAGCCCCTCCCCGCTGGAGCCTGTGTCGGGGAGTGATCACAGGTGTGCCGGGCTGTTGACAGCAGATGGTGCCGGCGACACCGTGCAGTAGCTGCTGAGTGCCTTGCTCCACCCGAGCTCTGGAGAAGGTCAGCCTCCCCCCACCCCTCCCAACTGCTCCTCTTCTTCCTTCTGTCTCAGCCAGTGGCTCTGGGAAGATCAAAGCCAAACAGTGTCAGAGCCAGGACTAGAGCAAACATCTCTAAACTTGTAATGCAGTGTAGTTCCTCTTCCTTTAAAAAAATATGTTTTTCAATTACAGTCACATTCAAGATCACTTTGTATTGGTTTCAGGCACACACACAGCACCGTGGTGGGACAATCATATACTTTACCCTGCGCCCCAATTTCCAGCACAGAATTATTGACTGTACTCGCTACACCGCACTCTGCACCCCCGACGACTCTGCACCAACCAACCTGCCCTCTCGGTCCCTTACCCTTTCACCCAGCGCCCAGCCCTCCTCCCCTCTGTGTTCTCTCCTCTTCTGCGTGAAAGAACCGGCAGAAGGTGAAATACTCTCCTCAAACCTGCAGGCATGACCGTAGTTGTGGTTTAAGTATGTTTTACTAAGCACTGATTTTCTGGGAGCACCAACAATTCTTGTTGTTAGTGCTTGGGCTAGCAGAAAGAAGAGCTTCTCCAGGCCCTCCCGTGTGCTAGGCGCTGCCTCGGGAAGCCCACGCGTCCCCAGTGTCTTCCTTCGGGGCAGCTGGGGCAGCGGCCGCCGGGCTCTGGGAGGCCCCTTCTGTGCGCGTCTGGCACGCAGGCCGACCCCAGCCGTGCGCCAGGCCTCGTGTACACCTCTCGGTTCACACGGGGAAAGCGCTGTGTCTCCAACAGGAGGACCGTGGAATTTTATTTGAAAGAACATTCTGCCACCCCCGATGCCTGCTTTCAGGGCAGAGGACCTCCTGCCACTCGGGGTTTCCGAAGATGTGTTTGCTGGCGGCTCTTGAGGGCGGGCGGTGTGTTCAAACAAGGACATTTCCCGGCCTGCATTTCGTCGCTGCATCAGTCTGGGTTTCGGTGGGAGGAAGAAGGGGCCCATCCCCCAGCCTCGGCATCTCTTTGCCGGTGCTTAGGTGTTGGCATGGATCCCACCCCCCCGGCCCCCTCTGGACTGGAAACTCCATGAGGACCAGGACAGTGTCGGTTTGGTTTCCCGCTCTGTTCCGGGAGCTGGGCCTGGTACCAAGGAGGTGTTTTAATGAGTGTTTGTTGAGTGGGTGGCTGAAGGATGGATTTGTTCAGGAGGCTTATAAATGACATTTTTTGAGTTTGTCAACAGAGGGGAAAATGCCAAGCTTCGGTTCAGAGCACCAGATATGTACCCAGAACTTGGAATTGGGGATTTGTATGTGTTTGTTTGTATGCTACTTATTTTTAAATTAAGTTTTGACACATTTCTAAAGATACTTTAAGACTGAGAGCCTCTCTATTGCCCAAGAAGGAGAGTTTTAGGTCAGAGAACAACTATATTAAGGTTACAGTTGAGTTGAAGACTAATATAGGAGAAAAAAAAAAAACTTGACCATCTTCAAAATGGCCATGGAAATCAGAAGAATCAGGAAAACGTACAAAGTCAGTTTCCCCAGACTTGTCCTTGTGTGTCTGCAGCTGCAGATCTTGGGGCTGCAGGGAGTTTGACCTGATATCCTACATATGGGAGGCGTTCTCCACTTGCCAAAGCGTGTGGGTGCACGCATAAGTGCTTTAGAGTTGACATCTAGTTCATGAGTTTGCTGGCCAAATCTTTCGAGAGAATGCCAACGTAAGTGATTTTTCATTCAAACATCTGTGAGAGAGAGAAAAGGCCCTGCCATGGCTGCTGTGGGCCCCACTCCACTTCCCTGGCCCACTGGCTGTCAGCGCCGCCGCCCATGGCGGGCAGTTGCCACCAATGCACACGGCTGAGCACACTGCCGGTGCCCCTCTGGCTTTCTCAGAAGTCAGGTGAGGACTCAGCCCAAGTGCGGGTGCAGGCCAGAAGTTCATGGGCATTAATACTTCCAGTGCACCCGTCAGCCAGCGGGTGATGGCGGTTGGTACCTCTCATTCTTGTCTGGGACACCAGTGAGGCCACTTCCCCAGGATCTCAGAGGGGTGTCTGTGGGCTCGGGCCCCAGCGGCCATTGTAATAACCAGCTGAACAGCATACATTTTATCAGCTGGTCTCCCTCCCCTTCCCCAGTCCCATTCTCTCATTTCTAGTTCCTGAGCTCACCTTCCAAATAAGTGACCTGTTCCCAAATCCTGTCTCTAGTTCTGGTTGCTTAAATAGGTCCTAAAAAACAAGGCCTGAAATCAAGACAAATGGTCTGTCCCTGGAACCAAGGGTGGACAGAGGAGTAACCGACAAGCAACAAGCTCAGAAAGTGCGATTTAAGAAAACAGCATTTCTGGAAGTGATTCTTCTCTCCCACTTTCCATGTGAGTGCATTCGAGACCATCGTTCCCCTCCTGACCTCATGCCTTGTCTTCACCTTTTATTCTGCAGACTCTTCTGAGAGGCCTAAGTTCACCAAGTGCCGTTCACCTGAACTAGAGACTTTCTCATGCCACTGGACAGAGGGGGTGCATCGCGGTTTCAGGAGCCCGGGAGTCTTACAGCTGTTCTACATTCGAAGGTGCAGCCTTCATGCCCGTCTGACTTTTATCTCCGTAGCTTTTCTGACTAACGTCCTGTGCGGCGGTAGGAATTGAAAAGGTTTCTTTGGATGATCTAAATGTTTTTATTCATTCCTTTATTCAAAAAATAGTAAGGAAGCTCTTACTATGTGTTGGGTGCTATCTTAGGCACCGGAGATACAGCAGTGATTATTGCACAGAGATAAAGTCTCTGGTCTCGTGGACATTCCTCTTCAATAAGGGAGATAGACAATAAAACTGTGCAAAGGAAAATGTCAGCTGCTGATATGGCTTCTTAAGGAAAGAAAAGCCAGAACGAGGACAGAGTCAGCACTGTGTGTGAATACGAGAGTGAGGGTGAATGTGGGAAAGTGTGAGTGCATGAATGTGCATGAGTGTGTGACGGTGTGAGTGTGACAGTGTGGGTGAGTGTGTGCGCATGTGTGGACAGGGAGTTTGGGTGAGATTGTAAACGAGGAGGTGATAGGAGGCCTCTCCGAGGCGTACATCATAGCAGAGACGTAGCGCACTGCAAGAGGCCACGTGGCTGTCTGGGGGAAATGGCAAGCGCAAAGGCCCTGAGGCTGACCTGGCAGGTGTGTAGAAAGCAGGAGGCCAGCATGGATGTTGCCAGGTGGCACATGGGGAGAGTGACATGAGAAGGGGTGAGCGAGTTGGCCAGGAGGCCGTGGGAGGGCTTTGAATTTTGCTTTGTCTGTGGTGGGAAGTCATAGAGGTTGTTTGAAAAGGTGTCTCTTTTAAAAGACTCAGTTTGGTTCCTACACAGAAAAGAGACTATGTTCCTGTTAAATGGATTAATTCAATAGGGATCAGAGTACTTTTCTATCTATTTTGCCAGCAGTCCTTTAAAATGACAGGGAAACACAGATCTCCCACCCAAGGCGTTTATTTCTTACCCTCGCCTGACATTATTTCCAGTATGTTTACTCTGATGTTGCAGCTTTGTGCTTTCTTTTTTAATTTGGGGGGCTCAAGCACTCTGTCATCTCCTCTTTTCCACCCAAACCGCAAGGAAGGCCTAAGCAAGATGCAAGTGAGTGGGAACCCTTTCTGCTAGCGGGTGGTGGTCACGGTCCATGGATGACGCTGTCCCACGGAGGAGGGGGTGGGGGAGGGGAGATGTAGCAAGCAGTAAGGCGGAGCTCAGGGCAACACAGCTGAGTTCTGGCCTGGCTGGGCCCTCGCTCACCCACTAAGGGGGGGAAATGAGTCCGTCTTTCCACAGCTCAGCCTCCTCATTTGCAAATCGAAGCTAATGGGCCTCCCCTCCTGGCTTCTAAGGAGGATTTTATTAGCTAACACGTGAAAAACACGGCACAGTGCTTGGCACATAGTAAGTACATGATAAATGGTACCTGCCTGTTTTTATTATTGTAGTGTGATAAATTACATCATTAAAATAATGATGGTGCAAAATTCCAATTCTGGGTTACAGAAGTGATTTTGATTCTTTACTGTTTGTGATTCTTGGCACCCTGTAAGATTTTTAATGCCCAGCGGGGAGTGCTTCATTTGCAAATAAGATTTGCTTTGAGTAAGCAACCGGGCCTGGCCTACCTACCTTCCAGGGTGAGAGTGGTCTCTTGGACGTCCCCCAAAGGGCACACAAGGATGAGATGGTTGGGTATCAGATGCACTTCTTTCTCATCGATATTGACACCAAAGAGGTGAGGGCCAGTAGACAAAGCTGGTCTGTGTTTTGGACAGAAAGCGAAAACTTTTGGTAACACTTTTCAATACTTGTTGGTTATAAAATGAAGAGAGAGGGATTTAATAGGTTCAGTTTTCATACTTATGCTTCAGCCCCTCAGACAGCCTGCTCAGTGAAACTAAGTCAGCTATGTAGTGATTCGCAGGTTAAGGACATGAACGGAGAAATAGCGGGCTTGGGCCGCTTTATGTAAATAGGTTTCCCCACCCTGGTGTTCACCACATCTGAACCTGAGCAGAAAGGTGAATCCCCAGGTGTGAAGTCTTCACTATACATGTCCATCCGGTACCGTATGCGGCGGGGCCCCACACCCGGGGCTCCAGGCTCCTCCCGCAGCCTGTCCCTGTCAGCAGCCCCAGCCCAAGCCCAGGCGCTGTCCCGCAGAGATGCTCCTGAGCGTGTGAGCAGGTGGAGGGGAAATCTCGGACATATTCTGAAGGATGTCATAGTTTGGGCCCTAGTGGAGTTTGGGGTCCCAGGGGGAAAACTGTCACCTCCTCAAACCCTCAAAGCACAACCTTGTGATTAGTGCCAATCCATACTGGCTAAAATTGGCATTTTGTGGGGGGTTTTTTCCTTTAAAAATATAATTATTTTGAATAGCTCAGCCTAAGTAGCACAAGCCCCATCCGGCATCTCTGGGAAGGGCAGGATCGGGGGGTTGGGAGTCCGAGGACCAGGCTGCCCATGAGTGTGCAGGTGTGTTAGACTCAGCCTGCCCACGTGCACAAAGAGGAGACCGCCCATGCACTTCCTGACTCTTGTCACTGTCTCTCAGAAGTCAGTGCCCAGGCAGCTCCTGGAATCACAGGCTCACGACTCCGCATCCCAGACACACAAATAAAACGGCGACCTGATTTCATCCAGAACCAGAGCAGTGGAGGGGCCTGGCCTTGGCAATGCACAAGGGAACCTAAACGTCCTGCTGTCTGTCAACAGGACAGACCCCAGGCAGCCGCGTGCTGGGCTGGCACCGCTCCTGGCCAGGTGAGCTGGAGGAGGGCAGCCATTCAGACCAGCCTCTGTCCCCCGCTGATGGAGACTGGGCCACATTCAGCCTCCTCCCCTGGAAGGGACTCGTGAAGGCAAATCCAGGCACCGCAGGAGGTGGCCCAGGGAGCCGGCCAGAGGTGCTCCCTCTCTCTGCTCCTTGCCTCCAAATGCCTCATTTTCAAAGGAAGTGGGCACGTGAAGACCCAGTCCCCCCCAGCTGTATCCCCCATCTCTGCCATCCCCAGCCCCCCCCCCCCGGCCCCCTCCACAAATTATCCTGGCCTTTAAAAAGAAAGTTACTTGGCCCTGGCCAGTTTGGCTCAGCGGTTAGAGCGTCGGCCTGCGGTCCTGAGAGGCCCGGGTTCGGTTCCCGCTAAGGGCATGTACCTCGGTTGCAGTTTGTCCCCGGCCCTGGTTGGTCATGCGGGTGGCAGCCACTTGATGTGTCCCTTCACATCGATGTTTCTCTCTCTCTCTGTTCCTCTCTCTTTCTCCCACTCTATCTGAACAAAAAAAAAAAAAAAAAGAAAGTTCCTTGTCCATGCCAGGTTATGGGGGAACTCAGCAGGGACAAAGGGTGTTGTTCCTTTCTTTTCTTTTCCTAAGGAAAAGGTTACATTTCAAGCCTAAAACACATAATCTGTATGTAATGAAAACAGTTGTCCTTAAAACATCAATGATGATTTATTTTCATTTTTTTTTCCAATTGGTTGCCGGTAGATGGAAAGCATTTCTTCTGTTTTGATTGATCATCTCCAGCTCTCCTGCTATCTCACAAGGTAGATGGGGAGTAACCCGAGCACTTGCCTTGGGGAGTGAGAGCGAGAAGCTGCACAGACCGCATCTCAGGGAAGGCAGGAGACAGAGTATCTGCTGTAAGGCCACTTGGCCTTTTTTGTCTAAATTGAATAGTTTAAAAATAAATGTCCGCTATTTATTTGAAGTAACAGTCAGCTTTGGTTCATGAGGGCGGGGTTGGAAGCTGTGATCTGAAGGCGCTCCTCCTGACCCCTCCGGCCAGAGGCTCAGTCATTGGTGCTTTGGAGCTAAGGGACCCAGGATCATCTAAACAGGTGTTTCCTGTGGTCTCCGTGGGGGTCAGGGTGCTGATGTGCCAAACTGAGACCCACAGAGCTAGCTGCTCTAGACCAAGCCCGGACCTGGTCAGCACTGGCCCACATCTTTAGGACATTTTCATGCTAATTGTAATGCTGTTGGGTATGCTAAATACATGCGCTTTCCCGGCTACTCTTGTACGAAAGCCTCGTTCTTCTTAAACCATTCTCTTTAACGTACTCTTGTTTAGTTGGGAACTCAGGATAAAATAAACCATACTATAATTCAATGACCCACCTATTCCTAATTTAAAACATCTTTTTTCTACTATGAATGCACACACACACACACACACATACACACACACACACAATTTATCCTGCTCCTCCCCTCTGCCCACATTTTCCTGTCAGGGATGAGCCATCCTCTCCTCCAAGGGTATGCAACTTTTAAGACTCTCAGCCAGGCTTTAGGCAACAGTTCCCTGTCTTGGGCCCTGGTGTTTCTGCCATTTGAATCCCAAGTTCTTCCAACAGCTGATGAGCAGCTGTCCCAAGGACCTCCTGGTAGTGCATAAGTTTCTTCCTGGTGCCAACAGACCAGCCTGAGAAACAGCTGCATTTATCTTCAGATAGAGCGGGAGGGAGAGAGAGAGAGAGATAGAAACATCCATGCGAGAGAGACACATCGAGTGGTTGCCACCTACATGACCCCAACTGGGGCCGAGGACAAATTGCAACCGAGGTGCGTGCCCTTAGGGGGAACCGAACCTGGGTCTCTCTGGTCTGCAGGCCAATGCTCTAACCACTGAGCCAAACCGGCCAGGGCCAGCAATTCTAATTTAAGAAAGCATTTCCCGTTGCTTCCTGCTCCCCTCACCACATTCAGTCCCATGCTTCTTTACCCAAATGCTTTTGACCCCTCTGTTCCCTCCTTTCCTTTCCCTAGCACCATCTGTTACACTTGACCCATCCTTCTGATTGCTAGGAACGCCACCTCTACCTTGAAGCCTTCCATGAACAACCAAAGAACTCATTGCCTCCTCAGCTCTTAGGGACCCTCATGGGCACTTGCAGGAGCACGTACCCCTCTCCTTTATAATGCAGCTTTTTAGACATATTCCCAGGCAAGAGTAATTCCTTGGACACCCATTCATCCTGTAATGCTCAGCACAGTGTTTTATATGTAATCAGTGCTTACTAAATACCAATGGAATGAATACAGGAGACCAAAAAAGTACTAAGATTGGAGATTGTCATTTCTGGGGATTGAGATTGTCATTTCTGACGATCTAGAGTGAAGGTAGGGACCAGATCTTATGAATTATCACATCTGCACGGTGCTAATGCTGGACGCGATGCTTATACAGTGCTCGCGTGGGGGGGTCGCGGAGAGGCTTGCTGGGTTCGGTCAGTCGGTCAGTCAGCCAGACAGGAGAGCTGTGTCACATTCTGTCACGGGTGTGCTCTGCTCCTGCTGGGGCCGCTTGGTTCAGATCTTTACGTTGCATTTTTGTTCAGGTCCCCATGGCAGCAGACCAGGGAATTTCCTTTCCCAAAACTCTGGCTTCCATCCGCAGGGAAATTCCGGGCACCCCTGTTCCACTCAGCACATCTCCTGCTGAGCTCTGAAGTCGCCAGTGTGAACGGCGCTCTCTGGGGAGCGGGCTGGAGAGGAACTCGGTGGTGGGGCGTGGACACGCAGCTCCTCTGATTCCCTCTGTTCTCCCTGCGTCCACCCACCCTCCGCGACTTGTGTTGTTGTTCCTTCGTTTTTATCTGATCCGAGGTCAAGGAAAAGAGGAACTTGTTCTTTGTGGGGGAACCAAGAAAAGGAACTCATAAGCAAACACACTGATCCAATTCAGCTCGTGGTTGTTTCCCCGGTTTTTTTTCTGTATACTATAATCAAATGCCCATTTCGAGTTACAGAAGGGAAAAGAAATGCTTTCTGGGTTTGGAGAGACTTTTGAATTGCTGGGTTTATGCTTTCTGTCTGTTTCAGGGGGACAGGGGATAGGCAAGGATATCATGTTTTATGCATATCCCTGGGGTGTCCAGCATGTTTGAAATGTTCTCCTGGCTCCTTGTATAATTAAGGAAAAAATTGGAAGTACAGGAAGGAGTTCAAGGCATCAGGAAAACTGCCCCAAGTCTCGGACATCTGTGGGGAGGTGGACACGAAGCACCGTGGTCCAGAGAAGGGCGGTAACTGGTTTCCACCTCAAGGCCACCGGCACCTCAGTGCTACTTGGCCTGGAGAACCACTGATATGCCCTGGTTCCCTCCATCGTGAGTTGGAGAAACACCCAGGTCTGAAGATTCACAGTTCTCTGGGAATCTTTATAGTTTGGAAGTGGGCTGTCTGTCATGTTTTAGTAAAGGACATTTTCAACCCCCCTAAGCCCCAGAACCCTCATTTGTAGAATGAGGATAATAAACGACCCAGCAGTGAATCACCTGGCGAAGGAGATGCCACGTCACAGGCAGGCGATGAACAGGTGTTCTTACTATAGGCGAAAGTACCAAAGGCCCCCATCGGTCTGCAGATGCTCATGATGCCTGTAGATGTGACACTTGGAAATGACATCACGAAAGTACTTGCTCATAAATATTTGTGTTCAGTTCATTGAGTCTGAGTGTCAGGCACCTCGCTTTGACTTAAGCTATGGCATGATTTGGGGACAATTCATGTTTTTTACCCTCCCTTGCAGGAACACTCAAGAATGGAAAGAATGCCCTGATTATGTCTCTGCGGGAGAAAACAGCTGTTACTTTAATGCATCTTATACCTCCATCTGGATACCCTACTGTATCAACCTCACTAGCAATGGTAGTACTATGGATCATAAGTGCTTCTCTGTTGAGGAAATAGGTAAATCACAGGTTTGTGTTTCATTTGACATGGCTTTAGATTAAGTACGCGGGAAAGTCTACACCGTTCAAGCGTATTTGCGCAGGAAGGCTTTGTCTTTGTGCTCGAGGGGTGGGCGGAAGTCTGTGTGCCAGGGCTCGAGATCAGCTGCTGCACAGGAGGGAGAGGGCAGAGGGGACTTAAGTTGGCTCTAACGTAGGAGAATCTGGCAGCAAATGTTGTGACGAAAAGGGCGGGAGCCTTGTGGAGTCTCCCGGGAGGTCCTGAGGCTGGACTGTGCTCTCGTGTGTCACTGCAGGGGGATCAATGCGCCTAAGACTCCTTCTCTCCCAGTTATTCGATGCGGTGATTCTATGCATATCTACTGAAGTATGTTGGCCTTGATCTCCATCCTGTTCTACTAAATGCCTAGATTTCCTTTACTGCAAAGCACAGTCACTCTGGGACTTTACATTTACAAAACAGCCCAAATCAGTTTAAAGATGTGTTTATAAGATCTCAAGACAAACATTGGAGATAATCAGCTCAATGAACTAAGTGAAAGATCCAAATGGGTTACCCCTTGCTCATCATGTGGACACGGAAACAAATCAAAAGAAAACCAACAGCTACAATTGGATGTTCATGTTTAAACTATATAATAGTATAAACGGCTACATGGAAAAACATCAAGGAAAGACTGAGTGGCTGACATCAGGTCTCACATCGATCCCCAAAAGCTCATCTGCTGGGCCCAGGAATTCCCTAGAGCTTCCAGATGGGCTGCCCTTGCGTGTGGTTCCCCAGCCGAGCAGGCTTGGAGAGACAGAGAGGCTAGAAGCTGCGGGCAGAAACATGTCGCTCTGATAGCCCAACTTTGAGAAGACTGAGAAAACTTAACACGCACAAGAGAGAACGCAGCTGCATCATTTAGAGAGACTGCTGACTCTGTGTCCTCACAGCCATAGGTGTGGCTATCGCGTGGCTAAATGGGTAATAGTGAGAATGCTGGGTCGACCCATGTCCTGCCCCCGTCTCTGCCAGTCACCAGCCCCACCCCTTTACCTGGCTGACTGTCACTGAGTGCCTGCCGGGAGCCAAGCACGGCCGGGGCCCTGCGCCTGGGAGTAAGACACAGTCTTGTTGGGGAGTCAGGCATGTTAACAAATAACTGTGATGAATAATAAATAATTACACCTGGCACAGTGGGTGCTGGACTCCAGGTGTGTGGGGCGCATAGCAAGCCAAGGTGGGAGCCAGAGGTGCGGACGATGCACAGAGAAGTCAACAGCTCGGTGACTTCCTCGAGCATCAGTGGGGATTGCCAAGTGCACGAGATGGACCGTGTCTTCCAGCAACTACCGCGTTCCCAAAGTGACACACGACACAGAAAGAGCAAAGCCTCGAGAGCAGCTAGGCAGGCCCGACTGGTCGGCCACAGAAGTCTTCAGTGGTCTTGTGTACCCCACAAAGGAATTTGGACTTTATCTTACTGCCAAGGGGTGCATTTGAGATGTGTAAGCAGGGGCGTGACCTGAGGAGAGCAACAGCTAACACTTCCAAAGCATTTATCATGGGTCAGGTCTAGTAACCATGTGAGCTAGGTTCTTATCATCCCCATTTTACAGATGGTGAAACTGAGGCTCAGCACGGTTCAATGACTAGCCCTAGGTCAGATGACTAGTAGGTAGAACTGCGATTTGAACGTAGGCTGACAGCTCCAAGTCTGTGCTCTGAATCTCAAAGTGATACGGTACCCCTGGCATGTTACTCATGTCTCGGGAAATCCATCTTGTTGCAGTGTGGAAGGTAGATTGGGGTGGCACAGACTGGATGTTCAGAGGTAGAAGACTGTGACAATCAAGGCAAAAGATGATGCGGGCACAGTGACATCAATAGCAGGGAGGGAGAGAGCTGGGTGTGAGAGACGAAGAGCCGAGATGGCCCTAAGGGATCTTAATGCGTCAGCCCCAGCATCCCCGTGTATGCTGTACCTAGTCTTCTGCTGCCACACAGGACTGTGCTTTAGAGTAAAGTAATATACTAGTTAGACATGTGGCATTCATTCCGTTTATTCAGCACATACTCACTGAGTCTCTCCTTTGGGCCAGGCAGTGTTCCGGGTGCTGGGGACAGGAAATGTCTGCTCTCGTGGGATTTAATCCCAGTGCGGGGGGAAGAGACAGCACTATGGAAAATAACACCGGGAGGAGACCGGAAGTCCTAGGAAGGTTGTACTTTTAAATAGAGTTATCAGAGTTCGCTACACAGAGAACATGACACTTGAGTAAAGAAGGGAATGAGAGGACCGTCATGTGTGTCATCTGAGGGAAGGACATTTCAGCAGGAGGGCACAGTGAGGGCAAGGACCCTGAGGCGGGGCATGGGGGGAGCAGAGTGAGCCAGGAGGACAGTGGTGAGAGACCAGGTCCCCGAGACGAGAGAGTCAAGCTGTGGTGCCCTTTCAGCCCTGTGGTTTTGGCTTTCTCTCGGCGTGAGGTGAGGAGCCTTTGGGGGGTTTTAAATGATGAGTGATAGGACCTAACTAAAGTGTGAAGGTGATCACTGTGACAGCCATACTGAGGACGGGATAGAGAACAGACTGGAGGGGGACAAAGACCGCCAGAGACCACTCAGGAGGCCCACACAGCAATGTGGGCAGTGTGATGATGGCTAGGACCAGGTGATAGAGATGCAGGTGCTGAGAAGGGGTTGGGTACTGGGACTGCCTTGAAAGTACAGCAGGTAGAATGCGGGGTGGCGAGGACAAGCTGAGTCAAGGAAGAGTTCCCTGTTTATCATTGGAGCGACCAGAGGGATGGGGTGACGGTGAGACAGGAGCAAGGCTTGGGTCTGTTTGGGGATGTGTGCTGTCCCGGATGCCTTCCCTCTGGGACATCTCAGAGGAGTTGTTGGGGATGGCACGCAGAAGTATGTGCGGAGGTCAGGGAGAGGTCACTGTGCCTTCTCAAGCAGGGCCGTGTTTGTTGTCTTTTTAGAGTAGGGACAGTTTAAAGATGCAACGTGAGTAATATGTTTGAGAACATTTTCCATCAGACATTTTTTATAGTTTGATCACTCAGAGGGCTAAGCTTTGGTTATCAGAGTTCGTCTGTCCCCAACAAATCCAGAAAAGAAGAGTATTACTGTCAATCTGTGGCAATGTCACTTTGCACATCACTCCAATTTAATTTCCCACATGTAGTCATGATGAGTCAGCGTTGGACTTGCTCTATTTTCTTTAAAGCGGTGTTCACTCCATGGTGGCCAATAGCATTCTTCTTCGGAGCGAGTTTCTGGACTGAGGTTGGGTACAGAGCTACCCTCTTTGGCCGCCAGAGTTTACCAGCCAGTAAGAGCTCCTCACAGTGTATATTTGTAGGCTTATCTCTGATCAGCCCTGGGGACCCAGACTTTGCCACACACCAGGTGATCTCTGTATAATAGAAAAGAAAGTAAATTTTACTCTGTATCTGCAAGTGATTTTTGAAAACCTCAGTACTGAGATCCACGTGGCAATAATTTACTGGGGACTATCTAGAATATGAATTTAGATAGAGTTCCTAGCTTTGGAATCCATATTTCTCTTCATCAACTTCTTGGAAATTTAATAGGCAGCAGATCTAGAGAATGCACAGATCAGTAGAAACCAAGCAAAACACTGTTGCAGACAGTTCTAATAGGCAACAGATCTAGAGAATGTACAGATCAGTAGAAACCAAGTAAAACACTGTTGCAGACAGTTCTAATAGGCAACAGATCTAGAGAATGTACAGATCAGTAGAAACCAAGCAAAACACTGTTGCAGATAATTCTAATAGGCAACAGATCTAGAGAATATACAGATCAGTAGAAACAAAGTAAAACACTGTTGCAGACAGTTCTAATAGGCAACAGATCTAGAGAATGAACAGATCAGTAGAAGCCAAGCAACTCTGTTGCAGACTGTCCACTGCTGTTAAGTGAAAGAAAACACAGACTGGTTACATTTGAGAGAGCAGCGCAATGCCTCCCTCCTTAGGTCTGAAGAAATGATCACCTGTGGCTCAGAAGACAACAAGCCAAGAAGCATTTGCTGGGTGTTGGGAAAGACTGTGCTAATGTGCTAATGTAACACAGAAATGAGGGAGACGAGGTCCTTGCCCCAGGCCATGGACAGTTTGGAAGAAAAAACATTCCTCTAACCCTAGTTCCCAACCAGCCACATGCTGCAACACAGTAGGTCTTCCTGACTCTCTGTTCCTTAGTTAAAATGAATTCCTTTGCCAAATCCCAAAGCATTAATTCCATCAGAGCTCAAAGAAATGTAAAAAATGTAAGATCTTTACGAAAAGGTATAGATCAGATTTTAGATTTGAAAGGAATTTTTTAGGGGCTTTTTAAAGAGTTAAACACAGATCATTCTTAAGTCAAAAATGGTACTCTCTTATGAAGTGAGACTATACTAATAGGAATATTGGAAGAATTAAGGGTGTGAGTAATAAAATGTATCAAGTAATGTGGTCGCTTCAGAAGAAAGCATTTCACTGATATCCAGCTGTGTACTAATTCTCCATTGAAATGCCCAGTACAACCAGATCCACCCACTGGCCTCAACTGGACGTTACTGAACATCAGCTTAACGGGGATTCATGCGGACATCCAGGTGAGGTGGGAGCCGCCGTCCAATGCAGATGTTCAGAAAGGATGGATAGTCCTGGAGTATGAGCTGCAGTACAAAGAGATGAATGAGACGCAATGGAAAATGGTAAGATGGCATTACAAGTCACACTTGAAATTGTTTGACTTTGCTTCTGTTTATTTCAACACCCCCTCTCCTGTAGAGACTTCCTTTTGACCTAATACCACATGGCCATGCTGTATGCTGCATCATTTCTTATTTGAGGAAAACCGATATAAGCAGAAAAATATCATCCTGAGGTTCTGTCCAACAGCCGATGCTTCCATGGAGCTTAAATGGAAGCCTCTGGAAGGAAAGGGAAACTATTTCCCCAGTCATCCTTGGTGTCCGGTTTAACTTTAGAACAAAATTGTATACTTTAGCCACTGAGCTGTCTTTGGGGATGCGGCTAAACATGGGAAGGGTTATGATCAAGGTCAACAGTGAGCTATGGCTAAATATTCTCCCATGATTTTAGTTGCTATAACTCACAAGACCTTCGTTAAAATAAGTTCTTAAGTGACTCCAAGAGGGAAACAGAGGGAAGGAATTTGCCCTTTGGAGGTTTCAGAAGGATATTTTGTTAAGTACCTCAGGGGACAATCAAGCTAAGAGGTTTTTAAGTCTGCAAGGAGCATGGTACTGGTTGACCTCTGAACCCCTCACTTCCTGGCCAAGTGTGTGGGAACTGGGCACTTAGGTCAGTTCCGATGGCACACAACAAGGAGGAAAACAGGATTATCGTTGCTCCCAATATAACGAATTCAAAGGCAGTCTAACCACAGCCCCGGCCCTAGCCAAGTGCAGTGGTTTCTGGCCGGGTATCAGTCATGCCTGGCGGCTGGCACAGCCTCACAACCAACTCTTCAGACACCGGGCCTGTCCGTGCAGTGACCTGAGGAAGAAGCAGCTGCTTTTGTCACCAGCTGGCAGCTGGCTTCGGAGCAGCTTCGAACAGTCTGAGGTGGGGCTTTGAGGTTCCGTTTTCGGCAGCACTTTAATTTGGATATCTATTCTGTAGCTTGGTGTCAAAGAAGCCTGGTTGGACGCTGAGTCAAAGAACGCTTTCTAAACTCAAGCTAGTCACATTTACTCCACCACCAGGGGTTGAAATAGCCACTGTGCGCAGGGCTCGGTGCTCGGTACCCCCAGGCAGACGTTCCCAGAATGTGAACCGTGGACCCCGAAGGGTCCCTGAGACCCTGTCAGGGACTCCACAGGTCAGGACTATTTTCATAATAGTTCTCAAGTGGCTTTCCTTTTTTCACTGTGTTGAGATTTGCCTGATAAGGCAGGGAAACCCAGGCCGCCTTGGCACAGACCGAGGCAGTACACTGACCTGTACGACAACCAGCGCACCCTTCACGCCCAGCACTTGGGAAGGGGAGCGGGGGAGTCGGTTTCGCATCAGAGAGCCCGTAATGAGGCTGCGAAAATTATTCATTTTGTTACAGCCCGACCTTTGAGTACATAGCTTTTCAGTATTCTGTGTGACCCGTGCTAAGTGCACACGGAGCGCTGCTGCTGCTGCGCGGTCCCGAAGGCGGTGCTGAGAAAAGGCACGTGCACAGCGGGGCTGCTGCGCACCAGCTGCTCTGCGCAGGGACACGTTTGGAACACCAGTGGTTCTTGAGAGAATGGCTGGTTAATAGTTACTCGTGTTTGGGTTGGCAAATATTGGGCAAACATTTCTCGCCAAAGAATGAAGTAAGCTTGTCCCTTTAAGAAAACCTAGTGACAGTATTGATAGCCAATGAAAACATTTGAGCTTTCAAGGGAAAATTCAAATTTTGGAAATTTTGTTGTGCAGGCATGAACTTGATAGCTTCCCTGTCTTTGAAGACATTACTGATGAGATCAATGGTGATACTATTAGCAAAAGTGATTTTTTTTTTTTATGGCATAATAAAATGTGTGTACTTTTAGAAAATCTGCATAACTCAGTGAACCAGTATTTCCCAAATGATCAATACATGATGTAACCAAAATCACGCACGGGGAAATGATCCATTCAAAGTTCTAGATGGAATAGTGGATTTTAATGTACAAGCATACAAAGGTTCATTGATACAGTTTCAGATTATACATTGCAATTAACCCTTAAGAAGATACCACTTGTAGAGTTTTGGTGGTAGTGTTAAAGAATATTCACAATTATCTGAAAAGGCTATTAAAATATCCTTCCTTTTCTCACTATGTATCTGTGTGAGATCAGATTTTGTTCATATACTTCAACCAAAACAACACATCCTAACAGATTTAGTTCATCACAAGCAGATGTAAAAATACAGCCAAACATTAAAGAGATTTGCAAAAATGTAAACAATGTCACTTTCACTATAATTTGATTGTTTGGGGAAGTACAATCATTTTTATAAAAATACATTGTTGCCATAAAGTCAGTTTATTATTTCAATTTTAAAATTAGCATTTAAAAATTTTTTAGTTTCAATTTCTAATACGGTAAATAGTGATAGGTATAACCCAAGTCAATCAAGTACTATTCACAATAATTTTTAAGAATGTCAAAGAATCCTGAGACTAAAAAGTTTGGCAAGCTAGAAAAAGCCAAGATGTAAATCAGAGCGTTAGAATTCATTCATTTTCTGATCATAGTTTCAAGCCTGAAAGACTCTGGCATGTTGTTATGCCTCAGCCATGACACAGAAAGGTAACCTACACCCTAAGCTATGAACTGGGTTCATGGGAGCGTGGACTCCGTCACTGGCTGTTCAGAGCTGCCCCACAATGTGGCCGTGTTGTACTCCTCATTGTACCCTGCTAAAAAAGCACGTTAGATAGTTCAAAGGGATCAGTTAATGCTTGCTTACCTTTTATGAGTAAAGTTATATATTCATGGTATTTGTAGGTCTGGTCATTTGCAATCGTCTTGGACAGAGTTGTCATGAATAGCAAGGGCCTATTCATGAGAACTGACCTCTCTCTGGAAGACACTCACAATCCAATTGGTTATGAGCACTCATGTCATAAGCATAAAAAGAAGAGAGATTTGTAAGTAGAAGGGTGGGGGGGGGGGGAGAGCTAAGGCTTGTTGCTTAGATCCAGAATTAATATTACCATTTGGCAACATTGAATTTGGTATTGTTGTATCTTTTTTTAATTAAACACATTTTGAACATAAAAGTAATGCTAATGACCACGTAGTTGGTTACACTATTTACAAGAATGTATGGGTTTTCTCAGGACGTAATGGGTGGCATAAAATTATCTACAGCATGTGGTCCATCTCTTGCTCACCCATGTGCACTGGGGATAATGAAGGCATTTTGGCCCCATGGAAGCTGAAGTCTACTACAGAAATCTGAGCGGTGAAATGCGAGAAGTAATATACGGTGTGTATCGTCTGGCAGGATGGAGCAGGGGCAGTGCCAGGAAAGACTTCTTAGAATTTCAGGAATACTTGCAGCAAGGACTGGCCAAGAATAAGCGTTCCCTTGGAGGCAGGTGTCGGAGCTCAGTGTGGCGGGAGAAGCTGTGTGCCCACGAGTGTGGTGTGGCGGGTGTGGCGTGTAGAGAGAAGACGGAGAGGGGGCCGTGGGTCAAAACACCAAGAGCCCCTTTCTGGTTTTGTTATTAGTAAAACCTGTAAAGAAATAACATTGATGATAATAACAGAGAAGCTAAGGCTGTAAGAATGAAAACATAGGTTTTTTAAATATTTTAAGAAAAAATATTTAATATGTAGAAGTCCACCTTTAAAAAGCATTTGAGGCATGCAAATACTCCATACATTAAGAAGCTTCTTTAAATGGTGCAAAATGACCATCGCATGTGTACATGAGGAAACCATGAGATACTTTGTGAGTAGAAATGAACTGTGGTGAAAGGAGAATTTGTTTTAGAAAATGAAGGTCCAGCTCCTGACTTAGCAAAACAAATCAGGAGAATATTTATGTGAAAGATCTACTCTGTTGAAAAAGTGAGTGTTCCTAGTTTTTTATAGACAGGAGCAAGGTGTTCTACCAGAGAACAGAGGAAAAGCACATACTGAATACTTAGTTTGAATATTGGACCTAGAGGAAAACACCCTCATGAATTGGGTCTACTTCTTTGATAGCAGCGTGTTTTAAAGGTCTAATAGCCTCACCTGCCCTTCCCTGGAAGGTAAAAGAATATCCTGACCTGAAGGGTTGTGGGACCCTGATGTTAATTGCCAAGGACTCCTGTGACTTTTCTTTGCAGATTTTGAATAACAAACTATTTTGAGGTGGCTTTGAGCCTTCTAGAACAAGCAGATTATGTATGTAGTTGCTTCTAATAGAATTATTTGGATGTTCAGTTAAGACACTCTGATTTTCCTAGGAACCCTTCCAATTCCTTGATCATATGAATGACTCCCCATAATTTCCAAAGAATGATTTGTTTTGGTGGAAAACACATTGGTTTTTCTGTCCTTGTCTTTCTACAAAAGTGTGATCTCCCAAACGGTAGACAACATATCTGTAGTCTTCTTTGTAGTTGTCATTTTCCACAATAATTTTATTATACTTTGATCTTAGAATATTTGACAGCCTAATACAAACCTATAGCTGCATTTCTATAAAGGTCTATCAATTCTCTGGGTTTATTCCAAAACAAATTTGAGGCCTGTTGTCCATTAACAAATGATTCTTTGTAAAGTTATTTGCCTTGATCTTTCTCCAAATAACAACTCCCCAGTGCATTTTCAACTATTACCTACTTTACAGAATTCATTTTGAATACAGATGCGGAAGCATCTCGCAGAGTATATTGCATCGAGTGTGGACTCTCCAACCAATGTGTTATATTTTGTCTTAAAAGATGGACCCTGTCTTGTCAACATCAGTACCAGTGTACTCGCTGAGACTAGATAAGGAGTATGAAGTACGCGTGAGATCCAGACAACGAAACTCGGAGAAATACGGCGAGTTCAGTGAGGTGCTCTATGTAACGCTTCCTCAGATGAGCCCATTGGCATGTGAAGAAGGTAAAAATAAAAGGGTAAAGTGGCAGCCATCGTGGCTTTCATCGATGTACAGTAATGCACTGCTAGGGTGTTGTCCAGATCAAGATACATTAGCATCTAATGTCGGGGTCAGAGGCCCCGAGCTCTCTCTATAGCAGGTATTAGCAGGTAAAAAGCAGGAGGACAATTTAGCGTTTGAATTACGTCATTCAGGAAACATCTTGGGGTAGGTGCAAGTCATAGAGGGGAAATGTTAATGGGGTGATCTCTAGATATCAGAATTTCAGGTGATTCATTCTTTCTATGCTTCTATAATTCTAACATTTGCTACAGTGAGTTGTTTGCATTTATAATAAGAAAAAAATGTTTTTCAAATACATAATGAAGATATTCTGCATCTATAAGGATGGATGTACTATGTGCCATCCAAGAAGAAGCCGGATATTGAGTCGGCATAGGTGTCAAAGGCAGGGGCTGATTGGTTTCAGGTGTGGTTTCTACCTGGCGAAGGCTTGATTAGTAGTGCGCTAGCTATGCTCACGAATGACGTGGAACCTTTGAAGATACTATACAAGGGAAATGCAAGGATAATTAAAGCTTAAAGAAATGAAACCTGTGGATTCATAATAAAAGAATTAAAGTATGTGAATGCAGAAATAAAGAATCTCCTTAACGATGAACATTCTGTGTATAAAATATTATCACTCCCAGGTGAGAACTGACGATAGCTCGTCTCCATCAAAGATGGGTTTACAGGCCAAGCAAGGAGCTGAGATGTATTAGTGAAACAATCACAGAGAAATGACATGTATATCCCTGCATTTTCTTTTCTTTTTTTTTTTTTTATCCTCACCCGAGGACATTTTTCCATTTTTTGTTCAGGTAGAGTGGGGGGGGGGGGGAGGAACAGAGAGAGAGAGAGAGAAACATCGATGTGAAAGGGACACATCGAGTGGCTGCCACCCGCACAACCGACCAGGGCCGGGGACAAACTGCAACCGAGGTACGTGCCCTTAGCGGGAACCGAACCCGGGTCTCTCAGGACCGCAGGCCGACGCTCTAACCGCTGAGCCAAACCGGCCAGGGCTCCCTGCATTTTCAGTACAGGTAGAATTCATGGTAATACTGAGTCAAAATGTCAATAACTCCATTTTTTTCTAAGCTCTACTTGATGTAGCAGGCTTGTTGTTTCAAACAATTTGATATAATGACACTCTGGTTTAAAAAGTATACTTGCCACACGCCCTGTAAGCTTATTGTGATGGTATTTCCTTCAATTAACGTAGATTTTTTTTTTACACTCTTTTTCCACGTTAAAAAGAAAGAAAGAAAACGAAGCGCCAGCTCTATGTGGCATTCCTGAATATGGCATTGATACAACATTATAAATGCCACGGGATACAAATGAGGTTCTCTCCCCCACTGGTTCTTATAATGCCCATAACATCTCCCCGAACAAGAGAATTAAAATAAGGAAAGAATATCACAGTGTAAAGACCTACTTTTAACAAAGCGACGTTGAGGCCAATTCCACCCATCCTGTTTAATTAAAACACAGCGAACCTCTTGCCAATGTGGTAAGAATGCTGGGAACCAGCGGCTATGCACTTGTTTTTAAGGAATGAAATAGAAGTTATACAAACTGATTCCCCCAAGTCGGCTACAGAGTTTTCTAAACTCTGAAGGAGGGAGTTCCCATGGTGGTCTTCTGTCCAGGAATTTCTGAAGCTGTAAAATAATAGACTCTGCAAGTCTAAAAAAATTTTTGTCGTGATTCAGAAATAAAAACTCTGCCCCCGTCTTTCTGATACATCCTCAGCCTGAAGGATGACAAGCATCAGCACACCTTCTAAAACAGGAACCAAGCAGAGATTGTTCAGGTGAAGTCGTGTGGACCAGCAGCACAGTTCTCCAGAGCCGAAGCCTTTTGACTCCCCTGAACCCAAAGATGCTTAAAGCGGTTTTGTCCTTATAAACGTGGTTTGTGGTTATGCTGCGTGCTGTTTATTTTGCTTTCTTTTCATGTAAAAGGATTGAAGAAGTGTTCTTGGAACAGAGAAGACTTCTAAATCACTGCGTTCTGTTTCAGTGGTTATCATGTGAAATCACCGAGTTTACTAGATGAATACAAACTAGGAAATATTTTTATGTGGGGGAAAAAAGTGAAATGTTAATTTCAACTATTCATAACCTTGTGAGTGAGCTATTGTTCTCCTGTATTTCAGATTTCCGGTTTCCGTGGTTCTTAATTGTTATCTTTGGAATGTTTGGACTAACAGTGATATTTTTATGCATGTTTTCTAAACAGCAAAGGTAGGTGTGAAGTACTCTACCTCGATGTTTTCGCCCGTTGTTTGGATTTCCGTGTGTGTTTCCATTTGTTACTTGATGTTTTCCGTTGTAAATCGTGAGTGAACATCTTAATTAACCCAGGAGAGCGTCACCTCTAGTTACACATTTACACTTGGACGTGTGTGTCCAGGACAGTGTCTAGGACATCAGGAGGCTGGGAACGCACACCTGTGCTCGGGCCTCCTTGACAAGCTGCTTGCTCAGAGCTCCCTGCTTACCTCCTCAAAGTCCCTAACAAGTTGACACATTCATGCGGGACCGCAGGTAGCACCGTGCCTCTGGCTGAGTCTGACACTGTCCTGATGTACAAGCAAGTTCAAGTGGCAAACGAAAGCCACCTAGGTAAATCGATCTAAGGAGCCCTTTCCAGACTTCCTAGCATGGCAGTTTCAAGTTTTGTTTTAGTTATTCGGACGCTTATGATTTGCTGTTTCCAGTGCATTTGTCAACACAGCTAAAATGGTTCCTAAGTTTGAAGAGAGCCCTTTCTGCATTCTCTTGGAGTTAAAAGACTTGGGTTCCGGGTATTATTCTGCCGCTGTGCTTGATCTTGGGTCCCTTAACCTCCCTGGGCCTCCGTGTTTTCATGGGTATTATGTTCGATTACGTGACCATTAAATTTCCCTGGAGTTGTAAGATCTGTAAATCTATTTTTCTTCCTGAAAGAAACTCAGTGCAGACCATAAGATATTTTAATCCAACATATAGGAAAAAATATTGGTCCTGATTGCCAGTTTTCTTACATTTAGAATATTTTTCAAGTCCCATGAGTTCATCTGGCCCCTTCACTAGAACTAAGGTCACCAACACTGCCAGTGTGCCCTGGACTTGCCTGGGTCAGCACTGAAAGTCCTGTGTCCCTGGAAGTCCCCGAGTTCCAGGCCAACCAAGAGGTTTGGTCACTCTACCTAGAACAGAAGACAAGTTCTCCAGCTCAAGCCAAGGGGCATCTACAAATCAAAGCAGGGTCTATGTGAATACACAGTAAAAGCCTTCTCATTTGTCTTTTGAAGTTGCACAGCTTCGCCAACACTGAAACAGAACTGCAGTAGAAGGGAGCTTTCTCAGGACGCTGGCGTCCAGGGACTGGAGCACGCTGTCTCCACGTGACTGCAGAGAGGGGTCTCAGAGAGCGGCAGCTCCAGTTTTCTAATGTCAGCCAATGGGAAAGCAAAATTCACTCTGCAGAACTTCATTCTGCACCTACCTTTCTAGCAGAGGTCGACAAGCTTGTTATAAAGGGCCAAATGCTGAGTTTCTAGGCTATCTGGGTCATGCAGTCTATGTCATATCCACTCAATTCTGCCACCATGGCATGAAAGCAGCCACAGACAGCGTGTACACTAATGAACATGACTGTGTTTCAATAAAACTTTATTTACGAAAACAGAGGGCAGACCATATTTCAGTGCAAGGAGTAGCTCCCAGTACTGGCTGTATCAGAGTCATTCAAAGCATGGTCATCATTATTAATAATTTATGTTGTTTCTTTATCTTGTATTCATCAGTAACAGGTTGCTTTAATACTTGTCCCCTTGAGTAATTCCAATGGAGGCTACTCAAAGCAGCTAATGAAATTAAATTTGGCTTATTCCTTTGGTTAGGTAAAAAAAAAAAAAAAGCAAGGGAAACCTTCAGGAAAATGGGCTTCCTATTGAATAAACTAGACTGTCCACTCACACTGAGTGGAATTTTAGCTGATACCCAAAGTCAAGTTGCCATCTCTGCCCAATAGAGACATCTCTGACACAAGGTTTTGTTTTTTAACAATAAAACGAGTTAGTTGGGATTTTTAATCTCTAAGCTTTATTCTACAGCTACAATATTGATTTTAAAACAAACTCTAGTTAGCCCTGGCCAGTTTTGCTCAGTGGTTAGAGCATAGACCTATGGACCAAAGGTTGTGGGTTTGATTCTGGTCAAAGGCATGTACCTCGGTTGCAGTTCATCCCCAGCACCGGTCGGGGTTGTGCAAGAGGCAACCAGTCAATGTGTCCCTCTCACATCGATGGTTCTCTCTCCCTCCCTCCCACTCTATCTGAAGATAGATAAATAGAAAAATATTCTCAAATGAGGATTACAAAAAAAACTCTAGTTATACTAGTAACAAAATAGATAAATGATTTATTCAATTTGACTGAAGAAAGGTTTGTTGAGCATCTCCCATGTGCCAGGAATTGTTCTAAGTGCTGGTGAGAAAATGAGGCATAAAATAGGCTGCATAGACATTGAAATGAATTGATAAAAAATAATGTAAATAATGTAAGTGCATCATAGAATTGTGTATATAAATCGATACTGATTAGTTATAAATAGTTCAAAGTTAGTTTATTGCAATTGAAATGAACCCTACAGTGACAACATGGTTAATGAGATCATCTTATATAATTTTATAGTTAATGTGAGCTGTGTGGTACAAACTCACCCAGTCCACCCTAATTTGGCTACATGTGGATTGGCTCTTTTTCCTTCTCTTCCTCCTTCCCACCCTCCCTCCCTCTCTCTCTCCCTTCCTCTCTCCCTTCTTCCCTGCCTGCCTGCCTTTTCTCTGCAAATTACTGGTGAGATGTACATTAAAATTACCTTTCTTACAACTGAAATGAAAATTGGCTTTAAATGGAATCAAATTTCTCACTCCCAAATACTAATGCTGGCTGTCAATAAAAGACATTACAGGGGAAAATAGATTATAGGAAAGCCACATTTTATTTAAATTGACTTCAAATAAGGGTTTTTTGTTGTCGTTCTTTTGTTCATTTTTTCTTCTATAGTTTTTCCTTATCATTTACTGCTTAACATTTTCCTTCTCTTTCTTTCTGGTACTTATAAAGTACCAGAATACTTGAAATAGGTAATAGTACTGCCAATATTTTATTTCTAGCTTTTGAAATAAGAAAATGCACAACTTTTAAGCTGTATCAAACCAAAGTTTTAATTGTCTTTAAGGATTAAGATGCTGATTCTGCCCCCAGTTCCAGTTCCAAAGATTAAAGGAATTGATCCAGGTCTCTTCAAGGTAATTAATAAATCATCTAAGTCATAGATCACATTAATTATATGATACCTGAGGAACACTGCCTTGTGTTGAGAGCTTTTGCAAGCTGTATGTAACACATTCTAGTTTTTGTACCTCTTCTGGAGAAAAACAAATTTAAATATGACATCTCTTAAAATTATTTTTTATATATTTAAAACTTCTTCACTAATATGCATTTTTATTATATGGTTCTGTTACTACTGTCTTTATTATAACCATAATTAGTCTCTTAATGTTATTTGTTAAATCACTGAACCATCACAAGTTTCCTTTCATAGATCTTCATGTTCTTTCTGTTTCCTAGGAAGGAAAATTAGAAGAGGTGAACACAATCTTAGCCATTCATGACAACTATAAACCTGAGTTCTATAATGATGACTCATGGGTTGAATTCATTGAGCTAGATATTGACGACCCTGATGAAAAGACTGAAGGATCAGACACAGACAGACTTCTAAGCGATGACCATCAGAAATTACTTAACATCCTTGGGGCAAAGGATGACGACTCTGGACGTACCAGCTGTTATGACCCTGACATTCTGGAGGCTGACTTCCAGGCCAGTGACATGGGTGATGGTACCTCAGAGGTTGCTAAGCCACAAAGGTTAAAAGGGGAAGCAGATCTCTTGTGCCTTGACATGAAGAATCAAAACAACCCACCTTTTAGTGATGCTCCCCCTGCTACTCAGGAGCCCAGCGTTATCCTAGCAGAGGAAAACAAACCAAGACCACTTCTTATCGATGAAACTGAGCCAGCTCAAGCTGCCCATGCTCAGTTAAACAATCCGAGTTCACTGGCAAACATTGACTTCTACGCCCAGGTAAGCGACATCACACCAGCAGGGAGTGTGGTCCTTTCCCCGGGCCAAAAGAGTAAAGCAGGGATACCCCAGTGTGACACGCATCCAGAAGTGGTCTCATTCTGCCAAGCAAACTTCATCATGGACAATGCCTACTTCTGCGAGGCCGACGCCAAAAAGTGCATCGCTGTGGCCCCCCACGTGGAGGTCGAGTCCCGTGGAGAGCCCAGCTTTAACCAGGAAGACATTTACATCACCACAGAAAGCCTTACCACTACTGCTGGGGGGTCTGGGACCGCAGAACCGGCCCCGAGCTCGGAGATGCCCGTCCCAGACTACACCTCCATTCACATAGTCCAGTCTCCGCAGGGCCTCGTACTCAATGCCACTGCCTTGCCCCTGCCCGACAAGGAGTTCCTCTCAGCGTGCGGCTACGTGAGCACAGACCAGCTGAACAACATCATGCCGTAGCCCTTCTTTGATTCCCCGCGAGCTAAGTATTTAATGGCAAGGAGCGGGCTGGGTGTGAATGCTTAAACCAAAACCATGTTCAAACCTTTCCGGTCAGGTAGAGGGTGGGGAGAGTGTGGATTCTAAATGCCTTTTCCTGAAATGTTGAAACATAATATTATAAAGAAAAACAAGAAGAACACTTAATCAGATAGCTGTTTCTGTTGTGAACTGTAAATACCTTCAAGAATCGTCTCAAAGACTATTCAGCGGCAGTGATTGTCTTGTTATTGTGGGTGTTCCTTTTGTGATGCTGAGCTTTCAACGGCTGTGTTTTTTAATGTAGAGTAAATCATGCTTTTTGAAAAAGCAAAAAAATCAGGTGGCTTTTGCAGTTCGGGCAAATCGAAAGAGAATTATAGCACAGGCTAATTTTTTTACATGATCGCGAGCGAAAATTATAGGTAAGAGAGCAAAAAAATAGTTTGGATATGTAAATTTTATTTTGACATAGACTTGATAAAGATATTTTTAATAATTTACACTTCAAGCATGGCTGTTTTATACTACACTGCCCACTGTGTCCCCAAGTTCACGAGGACAGAATGTAGCAACCGCGCTCTGAAGCTGACCTAATGCTTTGGTCGGTGCACCTAACGAAAACAAACAAGTTCGTTTTTTACAAAACCTTTTTATACCTCCCCAAACCCCTTCGACACTTCTACAATGATTGTAGATACCCAAATCATTGGAACATGCTCGTCTTACCCGAATTTTTAAGCCAAGATTTGTTCATTTCGAAAACTTGAAAAATGTTTGCACAGATCCACTTATGATGAACCAAAAAACAAACAAACAGAAACCCATCCTTACCCAAATTTTGGTTCGTGTCAGAGTTCTACACACGGAGAGAGGTAGGAATTATCGCTGGTCACACTGAGGGGGACGGAGAAAGCCCTGGAACCTGGGCAGCAGGCCCTCCTCCGGCGACTGGGTTTTCTTCCCCAGTTACCTGCGGAGGGGGTGGAGTCAGGAAGCACTTTGTAGGCCGAAGCAGGTGGAAATGAAACTAACCAGACAAGGGAACGAGAAGTGCGAGGAGCAGGTTTAGTTTCCCAGCCGGCAGCCAGATACAGACTCACTATTTACAGTCATGAAAACAGAAGCAACACGATTTTAAATGCCCACAGGTAATGTTTACTCGAGCCCGTAGCAGAAATTACCTTCCTCACCAAAGCTTGTATAGGACTTATTTAAAGTAGTAAAAGAAGTCTCATCATTTTTTGTTTCCCTCTAAGTGGATTGGCAGGTAGTCAGAAGGAAAACAAGGGGCCTGAGTCATTGGTGAATTATTGTTCAATTCCTTAATAATCGAACATCCTTCTTAGGAGCATTGGGCTAGCTCCTCAAAAAGTGTATAAGAAAGAGAAGAATCTTATCTCACTGAAGAATACTTCTTATTTTACGTATTTTTTTTAAAGGGTGAATAAAACTTTCAAGTTAGCTTTAACTTAAGTAGTATTTGCCATTTAGCTCAGACCTTTTTAGGAAATAACCCTAATGGCTGGTAATTTTAAATTCCCTCTTTCTTGCAAGGACAGTGAAAAGCTAGAATTGGGTGTTTAAAGTTCAACATGTTACTTTGTAGTAGACGTTTAATAGATTTTCTGCTACCTTGCTGCTATGGTTTTCAATAAGAGCTGCATAATTTAGTTTCATATAAAATTTCATCGACTTAGAACCTAATTCAACTTAAAACTGTGTGTTTGGTAAAACTATCTTACTATTTCACAATAGGCTGACAACATTTCTATCGCCAAAAATAGCTTAAATACCTCAATCAGTCTCAGAATGTCATTTTGGTACTTTGCTGGCCACACAAGCCATTATTCACTCGTATGACTAGTTGTGTCCTGCAGTTTATATTTAACTTTCTTTATGTCTGTGGATTTTTTTCCTTCAAAGTTTAATAAATTTATTTTCTTGGATTCACGATGGTATGCTTCTCTTGCCGACACCTGCCTGGAGAGCGTCCTCACTCAGACTGCAGACTGAGTCCTCGCGTGACGAGGACCTGAGCGTGGTTGCTTTAAGCACATAGGCAGCGGGCATGGAGGTTTTCGGTCTGTGCAGGAATCTATGGACGCAGAGGAGGCAGCTCTCGTTTTGTGCAGAAACATGCTGCTGGCCAGCCTGGCCTCGCCGCAGAGGCTCTCAGAGCTGCTTTGGACATGTCACAGTTGGCACACGAGTGGGAGGGGGCGTAAGAGGGGTGTGGTGCTTGAGTCTTTAAGCGGCTGTTCTGGCTTGAGCCTGCCCCCTGCAGGAGGAAACCAGCTCTGCAGCTCCCAGTCACAGCTCAGCTACTGGTCACCGTGGGAAACACATAGGAAGTCGGGCCTGGGGGGAGGCGGGAGGCAGGTGGTGTAGGAGCCTGAGAGAGCAGTGCAGCCGGGAGGCAGAGACTCCTCCCCGGAGGCGCCAGGTGGCTTCACTACTAGTCCCGGCCTCCTGTGCAGGTGCAGGTCCTGGGAGCAGGGAGTCTGTGATGGCACCGAGAAGGCCACTGAGCAATTAGTCATTGCTGTGGCAAGTTGAGTGCCAACTGCCATGGCTTTTCGTAATACCGGAGGGTTTACGTTCAATACAGAAAAAAGTTCTCCACCTGCTGCCTGCTGCTTTCTGAGCAGCCGTTGCCTGAAAGGACCATGGGGGGGGGCCCTCAGTTTCCTGCTTTCGGAGCTGGAAAATACGGTCCTTCTGTCACTGAGATGCTGGAACACACGCTGCTTCGCTGTTCACAGCACGAATACAGGGTGACCATTTTAAGCGTCAGAGATTTGCTTCTGAGGTATGCTCGACCAGCCTGCTGCTATTTAAGTGTATCACATAACGTATTTGGGTGCTTTAGGGAATCAGGAGGGAGGGGAAGGCCTGCTTACATCCATGGACTGACAAGATGAACGTCACCTCGAAGATGGTTACATGTGTTCCTGCATTTGAACTAGTGGGGGGTTCTAAGACGTGCCAGCACTAAAATCTATTTGTATGTTGCAATATTTGCTTGTGTGCCTAGTTTTACACCAAAATGCTAAGTGTCTTTCCATGTAACTAGATGTTACTTAAATCCAAACTCAATATCCCATAGTGTGTCCCATCGCCTTTGCAGGCTGAACATGTCAGAGCTCAGTGTGAAGGGCACAGCTGCTGAAAACACATGTGACCCTTAGTTCTCAGTCAAGCTCTGCTTCCTTGGACCTGTCATAAGAGTATTATGTCAACTATGTTACATAGGCAAAATTGTTTGCATTTAAAATGATCTCTGACTGGTAAATTACATCTGCATGGGGAGAAATTCTACCTGGAGATAAGCCATATTTGCGACTTGAGGACCTGACTCTTGTAATTGAGCATGTCCCCTATGGGACACTGGAAGCAATCTTATGGGCTTTGGCTCCCCTGGGACATAGATAGAGCTTCTAAGCCTGGGGGTCTCCTTTACATGCCCACCACAGACTCCTTCCTTTGCGCTGAAGCTGTCAGACAGGGAGGAGGGGAGAGAAAATACTGGACAGCTGAATAAACAACCTGCATGGACTGTTGCCATGACTACAGCTGTAAAGTAGAAAGCCAGGTGCTGCCCTGTGCTATGTCCTTCCTGTCCTACAGTCTCCTGAGTAGACTGGAGCCATCTGTGGTCTGTGGTCGTCTGGGGGATGCTTACTTGAAGCTAAGAAATCCCCTTGTGGCTATAGCAAGAGATCATTGCCACTCCTTGGACAAAGTATGTGCCCGTCCATCTCTGTCCTTGCTCATGCCAACAACCCCCCACACACACGCACACACACTCATACACACTCACACACACACCTGAGAAGCTCCCCCTCACCAATCCTGCCTGTTAAAATTCACCTCACCCTTCACGGCCCAGCTCAGATATCTCCTTCATGAAGCCCCCCGCCCCCCGATTCCCTCCAACCTTAAGGGATCATTCCATCCTCTGAACCACCAACTCTGGCTGTTAGCTCACCTAACAATGCCTAGGGTGAGTCTGCTAACACGTATTCTGGGCCATTCCTGTTCCCTGAAATGTTCTTAAATGAGGGATTCTGTGGTGAAATGAGTTTGGAAAATACTTCATACTACACATCCTTCTGGGAGAGCCAAAGTGCATGCTGACCTATTAAAGCTTCTACAGTTTAAAAAACAAGTGTCTAAATTTAATATGATTTCCCCATTTATTTGACAATGAAAAATATGGTAAAGGAGCACCCGTTATTATTGCTCTTAACACCTGCTCTAATTAGACTACAGGCCTGGCACAAGATAAAGTTACAAGAAAGTTCAGGTGGACATGAATCTGAACAAAGTGTCTATATGACACCGTTAAACTTACTTTCTCAATACAACTTCCTCAAAAATAAAAGGCAAAGGGAATCCAAAGGAAAATAAACAAATACGCTACACCAAACTAAAAAGTTTCTGCACAGCGAAGAAAAGCATCAACAAAACAAAAAGACAACCTACTGATGGGAGAAGATATTGGTCCATGATACATCCGATAAAGGGTTAATATCCAAACTGTATAAGGAACTGATACAACTTAGCACAAAAAACAACAACAACAACAAAAAAAAACACATTAAAAAATAGGCAGAGAACCTGAATAGACATTTCTCCAAAGACGACATGTAAATGGCCAACAGACATATGAAATGATGCTCAACGTCACTAATCATCAGGGAAATATAAATTAAAACCCCAATGAGATATCACCTCACTTTTGTCAGAATAGCTATCATCATGCTATTGAGGATGTGTAGAAAAGGGAACCCTCATGCACTGTTGGTGGGAATGCAGGGTTCAGCCACTATGGAAAACAATATGGAGGTTCCTCAAAAAATTAAAAATGGAACTGCCTTATGACCTAGCAATTCCACTTCTGGTTATTTATTCAAGAAATCTAATACACAAATTCAAAAGATGTGTGTATATACCCCTATGTTCATCACAGCATTATTTACACTAGACAAGCTATGAAAAACCCAACAGTCCATCGATAGATGAATGGATAAAGAGGATGTGGTACATATATGCAATGGAATATTACTCAGCCATAAAAACAAGAATGAAATCTTGGCATCTGTGACAACATGAATGGACCTAGAGGGTATTATGGTAAGTGAAATAAGTCAAACAGAGAAAGATGAGTACCATATGACTTCACTTATATGTGGAATCTAAAAATCGGAACAGAAACCAACTCATAGATACAGAAAACAAATTGATGGTTGTCAGGTGGGAGGAGGGTTGGAGTACTGGGTAAAAAAGGTGAAGGGATTAAGATATACAAATTGGCAATTGTGGCTCTGGCCAGGTGGTTCAGTTGGTTGGAGCATTGTCCCATACCCCAAAAGGCTGAGTGGGGTGTGTACCAGAGGCAATCGATTGATGTTTCTCTCTCACATCAATGTCTCTCTCTCTCTCTCTGTTCTTCTCTCTCTAAAAATTAATAAAACATATCCTT